CAAGTGTGGGTAGAGCCCTTCCAATATCTTCAATCACGAAGCCTAGCCATGATTCCTCTCGCTATTCTACTCTGAGCTAGTCAGTAAATGGTGATCATAAATTAAATTTATGTTTTCTCCCCAAGTGAAATCTGTTTTTTGCCCTTAACCCTAAGTGGCGAACAAATCCTCGCTCTCCTAATCTCTATCCTTTTCAGTTGAATTTTCCCCCCCACATCCCTGCGGGGATGGGGTGGGGGTAGAAGGGAGTGATCAAGTGGTTCCTTATTGTCAGCCTGGGCAGTTGACTCAAACCACAACACTCCAGAGAAAAGTTTTAATGAAAACTTATGCTGAGTACATCATCATAAGAGAATCAAACCACTGGGTCCACCCTTCCTGCCCAGCCTTCCTCGGCACGCTGGGCTTCTACCACCACAACACATTGAAAGTACAAGTGCTCTCTGCCTCAGCTATTCCTGACACCTTGGTTGCAACTTCCTTGGAACTGGCAGCTGATAATCTCATTATCTACTAATCTGACATCGGCCCCTCCTTTGACTTACAAACCTCACCGACTTCTGGCCGCCTCTTTACAACTCCTACACAGATTCATCTCTTCTAGTACGCTGCCTCCATACACCACAGATTATTACCACATTTTCCATGCAGGTTTTGTTTCAGTCCCTTCTTTCTACTTGCTTCCTATACCCGGAACTGTTTACCAGTTCATTGTATGACTCTTCTAGTCTCTCCTCCTCTAAAACTTCATTCTACATTTCACAGCAAGGCAAAAGCAAAAATGCAAATATTTTTAGAAAAACATTGTTACCAGCTACATATTTTGGTTTTTCTAATAGGTAATCTTCTGTTTGGCTGCATTAGTTTTATTGTGAAGCGGAAGAAAACTTGAACAGAAAGATGAGGACTTCTCAGGTAAGATGCTCAGTTACAACTTCTACTTAGTCTGACATACATACACAGACTTCCTGAATAATAAACTCCACCACATCCTTATTTCTACAATCAGCACAGTTGACAAAAGGAAAGCATCTTTGAAATTATTCGTCTGTTTACAAAAAAAAAAAAGCGTTTGCAGTAGTGCTGATAACAAGTTGAGTGCTAGTAAAACATTCCAGAGCCACAGGCAGACCACACGACAGGATATGGGGAGAGGAATAACAATAGGTAATTTGTTGTATGTCAGCACGATGGATTCATTGTAAACAAGGCGGCAAAAATGGATTTTTTTTTTTTAATATAAGCACAAGTGTAAATAGGGAGGGCCTTTACAGGTAAATTATCTCACTGCCTGTAAAAGGCGGCACTGGAATGACTGTACCAGACAAACTGATCAGGCAGAGAACTCGGGAAGTGAGCAAAATCCAAAGGTGGGAGGCAAACAGCAGCGAGAAATTTGCATGCCGTGCTGTGCCAGCTGATAAGGCAGGAAGCAGATTAAGAATCCTGACTCACAGGTGCAAGCCAAAAGGCCAGGATGAAAAATACTAGTAGCTGCATTTTTTTTTTTTATAGCTTAAAAAGGGGAAAACAAATGTCTGGGAAGCCAGAAAGGGAAATTGCAGTAATCATGACTCACAAGTTAAATGCAGTTGTGTTTAATATAAATAGTTTCATTTCTCAGAAAACAACTATTTGCCTGAAATTCTACTTACCTGAGCTTCGTATTTGACAGCGGCGGAAAGAAGAGCAATGGCATTCTCTTCACAAATGCCTTGTTTGATCGTTTGCTGGCAAAGCTTTTTCAATCTGTTTTCTCTATACAGTGTTGCCAAGTCTAGCAGTCCTGTGAAAATTCATACAGCTTTAACTATCCCGGTGCAAAACACAGTAATTTCTTTCCAAATTAATCAACTACTCTATTGGTTTAGGCTGAATTAATCAAAGACTCATTCTATTTTTTTTTCCCCAGATGATGTGTACGTTTTTAAGGGTCCTCTAAAGACATATTAAAAGGGAGCCCTTTTATTGCTACACAAGTGTTCTGTCTTCTCCGTCTTCTTTCTTCTGCCTTCTTGTTCACTGTTTTGTGTACGATTCTACACATCAATGAGTGACTTAGATCCTTGTAAATTGATGTGGGGAACAGCTCCCTTTTTAATTCAAGATCAAATCGCCACAGTTGTTCAAACAGAAAAGTTTCAGGATGCCACTGGTGCCTTTTTAAGGAAAAAGTAGTTCTTAACATGAGAAATAGCGAGTTCCTTCTGAGCATTTTGCATATCGGATCTCATTGCATCCCCACCACTCATTCTCCCTGGGTGTGTTTTTCCTGACTGCACCCTTTCCTTCTGACACCTGCCCAATCTCAAGCTTTAAGTGCTAGTAAAATTAAAATGAACAAGCCCTGCTTTCCTCACCCTCTTCTGACACACAAACTGAGTTTTTCAGAAACAGCAACCAAGAGTTATTTCCCTTTATTGCAAATACCTATTGCATCTTCAGGAGGGAGCCTAATGTTGTCTGTATACAGGTATTCCAGGAAGGCTCGGTAAACAGGGTAAGAAAATTCACTCATTTCTATAATTTCATCATCATTATTCAGTATGGAACGAAAGTGTTCACACCTACAAAACATGGACAAAGATTGTATACTTTAAAGAGTTAAGCTTGAAAGATGAGCTGCAGCAAGAAGTTGGGAAAAAAAAATCAGTCAGACTATGTACACAACCACAAACTCTAGCTTCGTGACTTCTTGGTTTGAATATGGCAATTTCTTTAAGCCTTATATGGCTTATAAGCCTTATATATAGATAAAATTCAGAATTTTCTTTTATTGCTGTTATTAATATCTTAGAGCAAGCTCCATTTCTACTGAGATTGTCTTTAGTGATGGTCCATGTGGCTTTGATGTCATTTTCTTAAATAGGTTATACATTAACGATGGATTTTATTACCTGGCTCGTAATAGATAAAGTTTACAATTAAGTTAGGCAATTTCAGCCCACCTTCTCCAACATCATCCAGTGAGGAGGAAATTTATTAATAGTTTAGATAACCTTTATTCCAGTGGCAGAGTCCATACACAATTTAGCATTAGCTTTAATTATACTCAAGGATTAAAATACTTACCCAGATCTTTCATCAACTTTTTCTTAGAAGTCTTTTGTGACAGACAAGATATAAACAAGGAAAAAGCACTGCCTGCACTAGCTGTACTTAGCAACTTACAGTTCATAGTAACTTACAATTCATTGTAACCTACTGCTTCCTGTAACATTTGAATTGTTTTCAGAATTTTTGCTGATGGAAATGAGTATCACCACCTCAGGCAATTTCTCCTCTAACAGTGACAATTTAATTGGCTGTTAGAGCCATAATTTAACTGGTTCTTTTATACTACACTACATACTTTCTAACTCTCCCACATCAGAATTTGCTCATCTTTTAGCAAAACTTTTATGCAACAGGTAAGGTTAGCTTCCTTTTAATGATCTGGAACAAGTCTATATCATAAAGACACCGTAACCCAGATGCAAATGAACAATAATAATTTCTTTTATTACTCAATCTACCTTCTTCACATTTGATTTTATTGGTTACTTAAGGATCATTTTTTTTTTAGTATTTTTTTTTAAAATAAACATCAAGTCAAATTCATAAAGAATTTAGAAGTCCTCCTCTAGCTTCTGCCACACTCTGTGCCACATTCCAGCATTGGAAGAGGCAGACCAAATGCCACTGCTTTGTTTCCTGGAGCCCCACGTTAAGCGGTGGGGACCCCGCTATATCCATCCAGCTGTGGAAAACAGACCTTGGCACCACACAGAAGCAAAAATCAGAGGGAAGGTGGTGCACATTGCTCCCTTAAAAACAAATAAATAAATAAACGAAAATCAGTTACTACTCATCTTTCAGTCTCCAAAGTTTCCTGGAGTGACTTATCCTTTGGAGTGCCTCTCTCCCTCCCTCTCTCAGTTGTGACAGACGAGACACCTGATTTTGGCTGGCTGAAAGCAGAGCTGACGAATCCCACCCCCACAGTCATCTGTATCTGTTTCCGCAGGCGGTTTGTTGCTTGGCCAGCCTCTCGCTGAGCTGGGAGTTGTGCTGCCTTCTCACCCCCATCTCAATCTAATAACCACCAACAACAATATGATCTAGTTCAACAGTAGGCGTAGAGCAAGATGGAAAAAACCCAAGTCTTCGTAAGTAGTAAAGAAATGGTTGGACAATAAAAAGGAACTTTTACCAGCACTGCGTTCATGGCAACGCTCTGGAACAGGCTGAATGCTGCAAAACGCCGTGTTAAATACTTTATTCTCTTGTATCATGAGACTATAAGGCTTAAAGAAAATATTAATTCTACAGACTGTCCCTGATGTGTTGTTATTCCTGTATCCTATTCTGATGATGCCATACATTAAAACCATTATAGAATCAGACACATTTCTCAGATTATATGGCATTCTAGGAAGGAAAAGTGGAGCAAGAAAAAAAAAAAGGTACATAGAGTCTGATTATCAGGAAAAAGAACCTGAGAAACATTTTGGGGATACACAAGGTTTGAAGTGGTATCTGATGATGGACACATGGCATTCCAGACAAAGAGAGGGGCACTTTAGGCATAAATGTAATGTACAAGCAGTAAAACCAGCTAAGGGAAGAAAATAGCAATATAGGTAACTGGAGTAGCAAGAGAAGAGCAGAAAAGACCAAAAACGGGCAGGTAAGAATTGAAATGGAACTTCAATTTTATGCAGTAATGTACAACAGCAACATAGGTAACCAGAGTAGTAAGAGGAGAGCAGAAAAGACCAAAAAAGGGCAGGTAAGAATTGACATGGAACTTCAATTTTATGCAGTAATGTACAAGGAATCACTGATGGGACCCAGGAGCAAAAGTAGGAAGATGGGTAGTGATAAGCAGGATGAGATAGCCAAGCCTTTTGAGAAAGAAAACAGCAAAGAGAAAAAAAACTACTGCAACAATGAGGAGGATGGAGCAGAAGCAGTTAGCAAGACAGAAGAAATCTCAAACAGAATGTAGAATATCGTAGTAGAAACTGCATCAGCAACAACAAACGAATCTCTGCATGTTAGTAACGGTGTGATTACTTTGTAGATCTGCGCATGTGAATTATCATTGTAAAGTGGTGTTGCAAAAAGCTGTAAAAACCAAAACATAAACCAGCTTAAAATTCACTGATTGAGAAGGTTTAAAACAAGTAGGGTAAGAAATTAACAAAACAAGGGGAAAAAAAACATAATCTGAAGAGCATACACAGAAGTTGTTTAAGCAGCTGAAGTGTCCAGTAGGAGAGAAAGGCAAGAATAAACACAAAACCTTCCAATGACTCCAGTGGAGGAAGCTAAGCATGTAAAGGAGGAAAATCTGGTTCCAAGTACTGGGAAGGAAAGAGAAAGAAGTGAGCCTTTGGTTCAAGCAGAAAAAGGTTATTAGAAATCAGGGTCAAGGCTGTTTAGGTAGCATGAAGGAGAACACATATCAGATGGAAGGAAGTGATGAAAAGGCTGGTAGCAAGCAGCATCTCTGGTAATTCTAAGCAATGAGGAAACGAAGAATAGCAGGTGAATCCCATGGCTGAGGAAAAAGGGAGTTTGTAAGAATAAACCAAGAATTTTGAGCAGTAATTGCTCAACACAGTGGACTACACTATGCAGTTCAGTTTACATTAAACTACACGATTTGTGCCTTACCTAATTTTGAGAAGAACTTTATGAACATGAATGTATTTTCCATCCACTAGAAACTTCAGGTCCGCAGTTTCAGGGTTGTCAAATTCCTTCTTTAGAGACTGGGCTACTGTTAGATGGTCATCAGGTTCTAGAATAAAAAGGAAAATTAATAGTAAGTAGTATCTATATACAAGAACCTCTCATGATAACATTCTGTGTATTTTTTAGCAATTAATGTGTTCAGTATGAACCTCCAGAGGAGCAAATAATGGGCAGCTTACTTCAAGTCCTTACTAGTTTCACACTTCAAACACATATCCTTATTTAAAAAAAAAATAGCCTCACTCCTCTATTGTATCAATATAAGGCCAGAAAAAAATTAACATAGTCTTCAGAAGTTTAATGTTTAATGTTGCATCTAATAGCAAATGCTATCAGTCATTATCGGGTAAATTATTCTAAATGAAAAGTGTTAAGTTATAAGATACCCAAAAGGTCAATTAAAAAAAAAAAAATCACAATAAGATTTTCTAAAATACTCCTGTGAGGAGACGTTATCTTACAGCAGAAATAAAGCTATATATTCGTTGCAGTGGAACTGCCCAGGACAATATCCTTAGAGGTAAATATCAAGCCAGAAGTCTATTCAAAAAGTGTTTTCCTTGGACTAAGGTGCTAGAAGCAGTCTGCATGCATGTCTGCATAGTCCTATTTGTGTCGTATCATTGTCTGCACACAATTTATTTTCTCCTAAACTGTTTCCAAATCTCCATCATATTTGGTAGCCTCAGAGAACTATCTTCTTCAATACTGAAAAAATAAACCCTCTAAACCTCATTCTTAACCCAGAAAACATTTTGTCTTCTTACCATATAAATACACATTATTGGATTATACAAATTTTGTGGGTCAGTAATAAGCTGTTTGCTACAGAAAATTACATAAATGCTAGGTCCCATAACCTACCAAACTAGAAATAAAATAGTATTCTGCTAAAAATGGACAGACCTTCACCACAAACTCTAGAAAATACTTAAAGCACACAGTTTGATACCGTTACACTTTTTTTAGCACAAATTACTTTTCACTTCGCTTGGAGGATGCCACTTATGTTGAGGTATACCCAGTTGGATTACATGTGAAAGGATTGGAGGAGGAAGGAGAAATCCAATGTAATGATAATTAAAAATCCTTCTGAAGGTAACGATACTGTAAAATATTTTGTAAGTTCTTATTTTCTAAAATCTGGTTTATTTACTCAGATCTCTCTGCTATCTGAATAAGCAACAATTTTAACAACCAATGCAAAGCTGAAGCTCTTCTTTCAAAGTCAACTGCCAATTCAGAGATCCACCAATACATGTCCCCAGATGACTTCTACATTCAGCAGAGGAAAACTGAGTATGGTGGCATTCACTTATGAAATTCTTAGAGGGAAAACAGGTGCTTTTATTTGTTACAGCAGTGAAGGGGGAACCAGAGGAGGCAGCTCACACTGACGAGGCACAAAGCCAAGAAAACTCCTTAGCAATCAGTGCTAAGAATTGTTAACAGAAATGTTAGAACTGCCACCGACGGTGAATGAATGGGAATGCCTGGGTGTGGAAGCACCAGGGCACAGCCAACAGAGAAGGGCTGCAAGTGTGGCAGGTGACCTTAAGACGTCTTTCCCAACCTTAATGATTCTATGATGTCCACGGCACCTAGTTTGGCAGATGTTAAGATCCTGGGACACAGCTGCCTGATGATTCTCACCACCCACAGATCAGGAGACAAAGAACAGTGAGTCAGTCCTGATGGCTCGCCAAGGTGGGACAGGATGAAGAGACTAGTCATTCTCAGCTCCTAGAACACGCAGAAAGACACATCCAAAACCAGCACGGAGTCACCAGACTAAAAGGAACCCAGAAGACACAATGAGAGCCTGACAGCCAGCATCCTCTACCCTGTGTCATCACAACGAACCCTGCTCATACCACCCAAATACACATTTTAGTGCCGGGATGCCAGACAGACCACTTGGCACATACAAGAGTTTGGGTTTCAAAGGGAATCTGAAATTAGTTTTGTTTAAAAACAAAATAACCTTTTCCTCCAGTAAGATTTCACCTTGTGCTCTGGTACAATGTTGCTACAGGACATTATTTCCAAAGGGACCAAGAAGTCAAGGTCAAAAATTAAAACCAAAAGGAGCTGCTACAGTCAAAAAAGACTTCCAAGGTGTTAAGCAGTACAAGGAGGCTGGGTGTATTGCTCATGGTGACAAAGAAGACGGGGATAAAAGATACATTGGGAAATTGGTTAAGATTGCATCTGTAACTCTCTGTGTTAAAGAGAGTGATATCTGTATTAATAAGCAACATGCTTATTAATAAATAGGTTACTTGGAAGTCTTCAGCATAAAGGTGATAATTACATGAATGATCATACATAATTGCACTCAGGACTCTTTTAGCTGACCTAAAATAGCATTTCTGACCTAAATGAGCACTTATAAAAGAAGATAAGAAAGGGTGTATTTGCAGAAAGGAGCACTGAAAAACTGTGATGGACAGTTGCAGTCTCACTTCAAGCACTTGTTTTCTCTATGAGGAACAAAGTAAGGAAAGTGGTAGCTTTTGATTCTTGCCTTCCTCCACTCTCCTTTGAAAAATTCCTCCATATTCTGCACTAAACTGAGAAGTAAAGGCAAAAGAAAAAGCGGAAATTCTGATGGCATAAAGTAATATTGTAACTGGGCAAGAAGAAATGGAAGCTGAAGAGCCCCAGAATCCTGCTAAGGTATCACAGAATCACAGAATCACATAAGAAGATAGGCATAACTGAATTAATGACTAAGCTACATAGATGAATGTTCCATTTTCTTCGTAAAATAACCAATTCTTATGGAAGAAAAGTCTGAACATGCTACAGATCCTTTTAGGTGGAACTTACAACTGACTAACATGTAACTACATGAAATTAACCACCCTATTGTCTGGGATTTAGTGCAGTAACCCAATTCACCTCTAATTAGTAGTAGGTAAATATTAGGAATATTACTAATTTCCACAGTACTTAAGCATATATCTTGCAGTTCTGAAAAAGTCACCCCAGAAAGCATAACTTCCTCAACCTAGAAAAAATTTAGGTCTTCGGACTGTAGCCTAAACCATGAATTTTGGCAAAGTGGTTTCCTGAGAACAGGATTCTCCATTTAATCTCCTCATCATTCAAAGCTGAAATCCAACTACTATTAACAGAATGTCCTTACCTTGGCATCCAGAAGGCACCAAGGGAATTCTACAATTGTCACACAAAAGCATACAGCAACACAAAAGCAATTACAGAGGCAGTACAGAAGTGGAATGGAAGAAGTATGATGGACTCAGGTACAGCTCGAATTACAAGTTAATAAATCACTGCATTCTAGTTTTTAGCTTAAGCTCCCAGATGACACCTACAGACAGCCCAAGAGTCTCATCTTTGACTTAGGCCAGCAAAGCCCATAACTTCATTAGCAACCAATATGGAATTGAATTTGTAGCTGAAGAACGAGCTCTCTGTTAGACAATGCTATTGACTTAACTCTTTCTAGCCAAGGCCAGCTAGACAGAACTTAATCACAGAATCACAGAATTGTTGAGGCTAGAAAAGACCTCTGAGATCATCAAGTCCAGCCTATGACCCAACACCATCACACTGGCTAAACCA